GATTTATTAAATACACCTTGTGCGCCACCTAGGAACCAAATCTAGAACCCGATACTCGAAATTTTTGCTCTGTTACAATCGTACCCTGTTACAATTGACCCCACTCTCCCCTACGGTTTTGTAGCGTTCAGCGTCGAAAACAGGAAGGAAACTCACGCATGTACTAAAATTCAATACGAAGTACATCAGAAGATGTCACTGTTACCTGAAAAGACTATAAAATAAATTGAGATTTGAGTAAGTGTCTTTAATTACTCGAACAATTTTTTACATACAAACTTCTTTCTTTGTGCAAATTAAACTTAAGACTACATACTTTAATGCTGTATGTATAGAAAAAATTATTTTTTTAGTATTAAAATGAAGTTTAATCGAAACATTCAACCAATTTTTCTTAATTTCATGACTACTGTATTCAACATATTTTCAAAACTATTGTTTACCATGTTACCATCTGCATAAATACTTGAAACTTTGAAAATAATCTTTTTTTAATATAACAATTAATGTCCGATGGCCCATTGACTTGAAAAAATATTCTATACGTATGAAATTGACAGTGGGCGGGGCTACCCGACTCTCCCCTATATATGCGCATGGCCTGCAATTATATGATCTACATCTAGATGGAAGTTTATTTGGTTTTAATCGCTAGTCAATATTCATATGAAACTATGGGTGAGACTTAATTAAATATGAGCGCTTGTTTGGTAATTTATAGTAGTATGGTAAAATATCTATGTATAAAAATGAATAAAAGTAAGCAGACAATAATTTGAGATTTCTCTGTGATAAATAAAGATAAGTTTTTCTTTTTTTTTTTCATTTTGTTTTAAAGAATCAGCAGAGCAAATGATCAGTTAATGATAACATTAAAAAATGAACATCAAGAAATTGCAGAAGTAAATTGATCCGATTTAATAAAAAATATACTCTAAAAAATGAGACAAAATTGAGTAAATCTTTTAATGAAAACCTCTGTAATGAAAAGCAAACTAATCTTGTCTGCCGTTTTTATATAAACATTAGTAATATTCATCCTCATTAATAATTATAGTTTGTTCTTTTCCCTAAAGTTTTTCTTTAACTGCTCTTGTCCTTTCAACAACTTTTTTAATGTGGTAATTCATGCAGAATAAACGTATAGCTATGGCAGAAGCAGCAAGGAAAAGTATAAAGAATGTATTTTTTAATAACACTTTTTTTTTAAAAGATCGGAAAAGAGTTTTGATTATTTAAAAGTGTCAGTAAAATAAGCCCTTCCAGTAAACACACATCCTTATATGGGACTTAGTACTGTATATTCTTTTGTATTGTATTCCTTTTGATATGTTCACAATCACTTTCTAAAGCCATTTTGGAAAAAATAAATTGCTTTGAAAACTTTTATCATTTTATGGAACATATTATAACTCTCACTTTAATAAAGTTTTAAAAAAATTTCTTTTTAAATTTATAAATTTATCTTTTGAAACTTTAAAGTCTTTTTGAAACGCGCTTGTTGTAAAAATTTTTTTCTCCCTTTTCTTCGAATTGTATATCTTTTACGTGATAGATTTACTGATGTGAAAATTTAATTTCAGGATTCCCCCGCACAGCAGCGCAAGCTGACATGCTATCTGCTATATGTGATATAAAAAGGGCAATTAGTCTAGATGTTCCTGATGAAATTATTGTTTCCAGACTTAAAGGACGTTGGTTGCATTTACCCAGTGGTAGAATATATAATCTTGAATTTAATCCTCCTAAAGTTCCAGTAAGACTTCTTTAGTGTTATTTATATGCATTTTAGTGATAAATGTATGTGGTTCATATATGTTGCTAACTAAGTAATTCACTTAAACATTTTTTGAAATACTTTTGAGTAATATTAAAATTGCAGTAAACATTAAAGTAAAATGAACTCGCAAATTTGGATAGATGCTCCGTTTTTAAGTTTTGTTCTACGGTTTACAAATATTAGGAGGTAATACTTGTGTTATTACAAAGGTTCTTTTCTTTTAATATACAGTACAGAACCTCTTATCCGGAAATCCAAAAACCAGAAAACCGGAACGAAATTCGATACATTTTCCTGCCATTTTTAAAAAGAATAGTTTTTTTTCCCTCCTAAGATTTAGGATTTTTCTTTCTTTTTTATAAGATGTTTACCATTATTGCAGAAATAATCATTCATTCCCTACACTGTCAAGAGAAGTAAGAGTTTTGTACTAAATATTATCAACCATTCCCTTCCTCGCCCCCTACATAGTTGTTTCTTTTCAATCATAGCTCAGTGAGAAAGGGTGACTCATTGAACACCTGTTTTCTTATCATCTGACCCTTAAGCAGGGGGAGTCATCATGTCTGTTGATTACTTAGTCAAGGAGAGTTAAAACAGGTCGGCCTGAACTGCACAAAAAATTCTACCCCCTTCAATCAGTGACATCGATTATCAAACTCTCCTCCTTACCAAAATTCGTCATGGGAGGGAAAAGAAAGCAGGAAGTACATTTCAAAGGGACTAGTTTAAAAGAGTAACTACAAAATTGGCTGTTTTTTGCCAAAAGATATTCTTCTCAATATTCTCTCGTTCCTTTCTTCTTTTTTTAAATTCTGCCGATTGTTTACATAAGTATTATGTTGATAGAAACTTATTTTTATAATTTTGAATCGAGGTTTTTTTTTCAAGCACATGTAATAAATAAATAAATTAGAATGTGTTTTCTTGTAATTTATATTATATTGAGAAATGTTAAATAAATATGTTTAAATGGGCCAGAATTCAACGGATTTATATTTTTAAGATTCTTCTTTATGTGGGAATAGCTAATAAGTTTTGGTTTAATTAGAAAACTAATTAAAAATATGTACCTCTAAATCTTATTTTTCAATTTTAAGGATTTGCCCAAAGTGGGAATCAAATACTGTTTGCACCTATTTACTCTAAAATAAGTTTATGGTGAAGTATTTTTAACAGTTTTCATTGTAAAGCGTGTATTTTAGAATTTATAAAAATATGTAATTTTTAATGGTCAAATACTAAGATTGAAATTATTAAAATGGTATCTTTGCCACATAAGATATTATCGTTTGATTTAAATTGAAAAAATATTAAAAATAAGAAGAAAAAAATTTTATTAATTTTTATTTATTTAATTTGTTTATCTATTATTTTTTCACACGATTTCATCCTCGAATGAATGAATTTTATTAATAAATGCGGAGAATTTTTGGTGTATAATAATTTGTTCTAAAAGCGTGATAAAACATGTTAAAATAGTACTAAAATTCTTAAAAACGGTTCCAAATTTATCGTATTTGTCATTTTTGTGTGCGGATTTGAAACTCATATTATCATCTTCACTGTTATATAGAATATCTTTCGTTATGTTAGGAATATTGCATCTTAGTTCAGAATTTTTCAATTTTAAGATCAAAAGTTATTCAGAATAAATCGTTGTGTACATCTTTTTCTATTATAGATTTATTCCTGGGCTAAGATAAGGGGATATTTAAATGAAGAAAAAAATTAAGACTTTAAAGAATAATAGCCATAATGCCGTAAACAAGTCAGTTCTACCTTTGAAAGGGTTAACAGAAAAATACCACATACATACTTTATGAAAATCGATTATCTTTATGAAAATTGAAAATTATCACTATCCAAGCCTAACACAATCATTGACAAACATTGGTCAATTAATGGTGCTTTAACGGTTTCATTGGATTACAATGATTCTTCATAACTTTTTTTAGCGAATATTGAATGGAATTGAGACATGTGAGTTTTTATATATATATATATATGTATGTATATATATGTATGTATATATATGTATGTATATATATGTATGTATATATATATATATGTATATATATGTATATATATGTATAT